TCCGTTTATTTATTTTTGCCATGGTTAACATAGCCTTGTTGTTTGTTTATGTTTTATATATCATTTTGTAGCTCGTGAAATTCTATATCGAATGGTGTGTAATAGTTGGGGTTTTTATTTTTGACTATGATAAGAAAAGCTTTTTACGAAAACAGGGATAGGTCGATCTTTGCATAGGAAAGCATAGAGGATGGTGACTATTTTTGTAATAATTCAGCTATGGTTCGGCAAATCATTCTCATCTTCGAACTGGATCGAGATATTGTGGAGACTAAACTGTGTAGAAAATTTCATTCCGATTGGACTCTCGTTTCAAAAGTTATCGTGTAAACGACCGGCTGGCCAAACACACTGACCAATCCTAGAGTGTACTCACTTTTTGAGTACACAAAAAATGGATAGCAGTATAGCTAAAAAACTTAAATGAAACAAAAATAATAGTCTATTCGAAAACAAATGATATGCGCGGACAAATGAGTTGAACGTGGCTGATGATTTCCACATGAAGTTCTGCAAAGAAGATCAACAATTACGTAAAATTACGCATTATTCTGAATTATATATGTTCAACTGCTATGAAATCAATTCAGACTGCAGTAATCGAAGGAAACTTAAAAGGCTTTGATGATAGTATTGTTAGAATCGAGAGCGTAGGTCTTGCCAGAACAAATACACGTCCACACCATGTACGAAATGCAACATTGAAAGCGTATGTTATATGTAAGTAAGAACATGCGCAGATCCGTTTCACGATGAATTTACTCGATTTTACCGGTAGATTATAATATTATTTATTTGATTCGAAATTTTGTCACAAAATTTTGAATCTTTGATGCTCATGCAGAAGTGACACTTGCTAAGATTCCAGTTCATACGAAAAAATTTCGATATTGTGCTAGCTGCACGCACCCACACCCTCTCTAAACATATCTCAAGACTCAGCATCAAAGGCTTGTAATGGAAGTCCTTTCTGGAATAAAATTAATAAAATGAAAGATTTGTTTCGTCAATAGCGAAGTTTGAAGTAGTTTCTAGGCGACGATCGAGTGAGTTAATAGTATGTCCAAGATAGTTCTCCTTCAGTCCATGTTGAATATATAAGAGAAAAAGAACAAATTGCTTCGTTAGATAACTTGCTCACACTTAACTGTCGTTTCACTATGCATTAGCTGTTCCATGATTGGAGCAGTATAAATTGAGTATAAACCACCTGGTTCACGGGGATCACGATAAGAAGGACAGATAAATGAGAAAAAATGTGCTGCAGATGGCTTAATTACTGCATTGTTCAAAGCAGTATCATAATCACAAGCCGTTCCAGTATTTAACACAACGGAACTTTCGCATATGCGCACCCCATATGAAATGAACTGCGGGTTTGCCACTGCCGTTTCTTGGGAGCACCTTAATTTTGTCTTTTTTCCCGGTGTGCATGTATTGATCGCTGACTGCAACTTGAAACCACAGTTTCTCTGCGATCCAATATGTTGACCCGATGGAAGACAAGCAGCCTAAGAAACAACATCAAAGAATCAAATTTCCTGGTTAGTGTGTAAATGATGTATTTAATGAAGAGAGTTCCTACAAGCGTGATATCTCTTCAGAATAGAAATCGTTGCGAAACATGTTGAGATGTCGTCTATCACGGTTTCTAGTCTTACTCTGTACGTACCGTTACATAGCCGTTACCATCTGTTGGTATAGTTACATCAATTTGATGGATATTATTCGCTAGAGTTGATGGATTCGTACCAGTCACACATTTCTGTTTGAAAACTGTTTCACCATTGATGGCAGTAAATTCTGTTGGCTCCCAAGTAAAGTTTCCTTGTGCGTCCAAGACTAGTTGTCCTTCACAAAGCATATTATCCTGGTTCATAATAGCAGTTAGTGAACCAGTAATTGACGAATTAGTTGTGCTGTAATCTGTGATGTCGATCCACTGACAGGGAATACCCGCTTGGTATGTGTCTACAAACAGAAATAATCCGTCATCATTTAGAGTTTGTCTCTGTTGTTATTAAGAGAGGATAGCACAAAATCAATAATATCAACATAGAAAAATGTATTTCACTCCTAATCATCTGAATATAATTCGAAACTTTATATAGAGAATTATATCGCTTTGTTGCCTTTATAAACAAATTATGATCATGTGTTTTCAACAGTTTTCATCTGTTTATCACATACACGAACAGTCTGTTGAGAGACTTTCTAATTATGTCATTATCGGTTATTGATTTGAGTTTTTATAACTGATGATCCAGAATGAATGATCATCTCAGCTTTTAGTTCGTATTTGGTTTATATTTCATCGTATGGAATTGAGTTTCATAGAAACAGTGAATCAAATAGGTGTTCTTAGAATCACTGAAAAGATAAAGTACTAAAACAATCGTATACATTAATGGAAGAACCAATTTCTCGAGTGGAAATAAAATGCTTAAAGATTTATGTGTACACTACTTAGGATGGGCATAAAACAAATCAAGTAGTTTGCCACCTTTAAGAAATACAATCAATCTATCTTAATTATTTGAAAACAATCAAGTTTATTAGTAACGAATACGCTAGTGCTGTTTTCTTCATATATCCAGAGTATGCTTTTTAATTGTGTACTTTGACGAGCTTCTCCGATAGACTTATAGAATCGCATATTGATTGCTCAAAGCAGCGAATTGGAATTAGGATACGATATACATATCTGAACTTGAAAACTTAAAAGGTATTGAAGATAAACATTGTCACTTATGAAACTTCACTTTTAGTTGCAACTATCCTTGATAGAAAATGCAGACAGGTTTCATTACGTAACTCACATTAAACGAGCTTTATGTGAATAGATCGTATAATTTGCATCGAGCATATAATAATAGTGTTTTAAAATACGTACCTGTCCAGCCTGGAGTGCATCCTTGATAAGTGCAACTATAAAATGGTGACCATAATGAACTCCATTCCGCATTGGCTTGACGCCCAGTTGATATAAGACAAAAGGCTCGTTTTCCTTTAGTAGGATCTGAATTTCCAAATGTAAACGATCCGTAATGTGTAAAATGGTAATGTCGATGACACGTATCGTACTCGTAAAGACCATGATTTGTCACACTAGCATGTACTTGTGTATAATCATCCAACACTTGATATATCTCGCCTATCAGCAAATTCGCTCCACCAACATTTTCATCCGACGAATCAAACATTAGTACTCTTCTCCATCCTGCATTTCCGATACACGGTTCATCTAATTCACAGGAATCATTAGTGAAATATTTATATTGGATCATATTTGCCTCTAAACCACTGACGAGCATTAGTTGATCTGCATCGTTTGGATGTTCAGTTGACGGAGGATCGCTCAAGCTACGGATTTGATTTGCAAGTTCTTCATCCCACTGTAATA